GAGCCCCCGGAGGCAGCTGCCGCAGGCGGAATCGCTGGCAGCCAGGTCCGCCCGCACCCGGCCCCGCTTCCCCCGCGCGAGCTTTGGCGGCGGAGCAGCACCGTGAGCGCCGATTGGCCCGCGGGATGAGCGACGTAAGGCGCTTCTCCCCACGGATTGGCTGGGTCGGCGGTGCGTGCGAGGAGTAAACAAACCCCGCCCCCAGGCTTCCCGAAGAGAGGAGGGGGCCGCGCGGTGAAGGGTGTTCGGCGCCGCCCGGGGCCGGCCAGCGGACTTTCCCAGTGAGTCCCCCGCAGTGACCCCGCCGCCAGGCTCCGCGGCCGGCTCCCGGGCGGGCTGCAGGCCTGAGGCCTAAGATTTATAGACACGCCCTTCGCGCCCTTCTCTCTCCCAGGCTTGACTTTCCCAGGCGCCCCCACCCCGGGGCCCCGAGCAGGAAAACCCCATCTCTGTAGAAACAAGAGTAAACAGGCCTTTGAAGGATCGCCCCCGGGGAGCAGCGAGCAGGGAAATAGGGGCTAGTGACTGAGGCCACGTATGGGGGGCAAGTGGGGGGCACCCCGTAATTATTCAGAGAGTGGGTTAGAGACCCTGGGAGTGCGGGGTCTTGAATAGGCAAGATCCAGACCAGGCCAAGTCACTATGTCAAGTGGAAGGTGACGATAAAATCGTGATGCATAACCCCAAATGCCTGCCCCTGTAATTCAGTATTCAAGCATTTGCCTGTTAATTCTGTGCCTACGTGATATATGTGTGAGCTTACATTCTAGTGGAGTGGAAAAGAAATAAGCAGGATATAAACTATGTTACGTGCTGATATGGGCTATAGGAAAAAATATAAGCAGAGAAGGTGTTTGAGGGATGGCTTGTGTTAAATGTGGTGCTCAGAGAAGGGGCAGATATGGTGCCATTTAAGTAAATACCTAAAGGAGGTGAGGGAGGTTAGAGAGCACCTTTGGGCCTTTCTCTGGGGTGGGGTGGAAAGACAATTCCTGCATCATTGTACGTAGATAAATTCCCAGGAGTTCAAGAATGCCAAATGCAGCACTCCTTGGACTGATTATAAAATGCAAACACTAAAATAGAGTGACTGATTACATTACATTGTCCAGTAACAAATCAATAGGATTTATTTAGTTTCCACAGAAATTTTGTTAAGGTTTCAGGGTAACAAGTATTTTTCACACATTCTAGGCACAAATACAAAAATGAGCAAGACAGACAAAATTTCCACCCTCTAGGAACTCAATCTTGCAGGGGAGATGGATTGTAAACCACCTCAGTACAATGTGTAAACAACCATAATAGAAGTAGAAACACACAGCCCTTGG